CGAATATATAATCCTGATAGTTTTTGCATTGGCCCGATGTTGCTTAGACAGCTGCAATATTAGAGAATTGATTGTCCCAGGTGCATATTAGTCCCTGATGCAAAATCAATCATTCCCTTTATGAAATTTCCTGCTGTGAGAAAGATACCAATGTATCTCTTGAGCAGTCGATAGTAATCAACAATTAGGGTAAGAGTGCCGAATAATATGCACCAGACTATATTGATTTCGATCACATCCTTCATAATATCGCTGTTTGTTACGGAAAGGTCGTTGCATTGGCACCGACAAGGGCAAAATTGACGACCTCCCACCAAACGAAATAATGATTGGCGCGTAAAAAGAATTGATGACGTCACACTGATCTTGTGACGAGAGTCATTGTCGTGTAACGCAGTCTTCGGCTCATGAAATTTGGATTAATGATGCACGTTTTCGATCTGGGAGCAATAGACGTAGAGGGTATTTGTGAGCTTGTTTTGGTACCCCATCGACAAAAGATAAATATATGAGTTGGACCATAGGAATAGCCGTCATGTTCTTCGTATGGAGAAAGGCTGAAAGACCCATACCACACGTGTTTGCAAGCATGGTAGTATCCATGACGTATGATGAGATCATCATCTTCCCCTCTGGTTTCAATTGTACTGGCTACAGTGTTATATTCATTTGCATACAAGCTCAAGAAAACCTTCTGCCAAGGCCGTAGGAAGGCGACTCAAACATTTCACACCCCAATCACTCCATTCATAGTAGAGAAACTCCTCGCCGCTATCCCGGTTAGCTTCACTGTCTTACACGGCGGAAGCGTCACACGGTAGTGCTGAGCCAAGAGAGCTGTACATCTTGTCATTGATAAACCATTCCTAAGAGCCACAGAAACTGACCCTTTTGCTTGACCGAGTTAAGCTCGACGCTACAGGCCATGGTATAGGGGGCCACAACACACGGTCACACTAATGTATCGTCAACGGTTCTGGCACAGCATATTTCAGCTTATGCTATAGCTAAGAATTTATCAAAATGACAATCCGACGATCACGATACAACGTCGCTGTTTTAACTCAGCAGATACATTCTGGATATCTCGATATTAGTTTTTTAGTTCTTGTCTCATCTTGGTGAACAGTTTTGCTTTTTGGAGTTTAGTCCAGCTAAAGGAATTCAGCAATATGTTTGATGTATTGAAACGGACAATCTTATGTTTTACGCAGACGCTGTTGCAGCTTTATGACCGCGCCAACGGAAAATCTCATCACAATATAGAAGTGAATCTACGGCTCATCAGAATTCCAGTGAACGAAAAGTGTTTGTGGCACCCAATATCAGTCGGAAGCCGGCTCATGATGCTTGACCTAGGCAATATCCAGAATGAGATCATATCTTAAATTTAGATATAGATCGTGAATGCGCTCTTAGATATTAAAGGCCTTAAATTACCCGAAATCTTCAAAAGAGCATCCGAATCTCCAAACAGTTTCTGTTGGAAGACACCCATTTTCGTATTCGCAATTGCGTCATGAATTCACTATTGGCTCTCTCTAGGTTGGCAACAGTCGCGCCGTACTTAATTGCACGACCCCCCAATCGAGCATGGCGTTCAACAGGTTCAGAAATCCCGCCATATTTTTTCACGGAAGCCGACACTGGACCGTTAAATAATCAGCAAGAATTACTCCCTCGAAGACTGGGGATGGTCAAGCCCAAGTTTCACGAAGTTTATTAGAATGCAGTCCTTCCTAGTGGGACATCCTGCGCCTACCGAGACTTGATGTTTCTCCACGAAGATCTGTCAGCTGACCCTGCGTTGAGGCTAACCTTTGCCAAGTATTCCCTTCTACGAGTTTCCTTCTACGAGTTGAATACTTGGCAAAGGTTAGCCTCAACGCAGGGTCGAAGGGAATACGTAAAGTGCTGCCAAATATTTAGAATTCAGTAACATGGAGCGGCAAACAAGCAAAACGATCACATCCCCCCGCATCATGGCTGAGCCCTATCGCTTTTAGTGTTCTTTTCGAGCCTCATACTACTCGCATTCCTGTCAAACCTCGCAAAAGGGAATCTTTGTTCTGCATTTAATGCAAAACCTACTTCATCCATTAAAAGTTTAAAGTAAACGTGCAAGATCTGCGTGGAGACGCATCCCTTTTACAGATAGCAACCTTACAGCATGCGAGAGGGAGTTTATTGCGCTTTTAGCTCTTGGACATTGTCTGCAAACGCTTGCCTTACTTATCAAGCGAGTAGGAATTTAATAGCACACAAAACGCCTGATTTAGTGGTGCAAACGCCCGTGGTTATGTCTCTTCAACACTTCCCATCTTAAAATTGCCTTTTATACAAAGTACCACGCACAAGCGTCTTCTAGCTCGAGGATCGCAAGCTCGACGCACCTTTGCCCCGCCTAACGTAAGGCTGAATTTCTGTCCACTTAAGCCGCTCTTATCCAGATAGGAGCTTGTCTCATCTCTGAGTTTAATAATTAACATCTGGCGTTACTCATGCCGATATAGTCGAGTACAGAATACTCCACCAGACACAAGATATTCCACCTGGAAGTAAATTGCATTGATTTGCGTAGATGTACTGGTGGTTACAAAATGCACAGCTAGGTGAGCACTTATGCTTGCACATGGGACACGTTTGAACGAGTAAAATTGTCGTCGCGTGCGCCGGCGCTTTCATACAGCCTGCTCGTTCCAGCACAATGTTGACAGTCTATCAGAATGAAGTCGTTTTCTAGTCGTGTAAGAGGTGCGTCCAGTATAGTCAATATTTCGATATGTCGCCATGCTTAGCAGTTTAGATTAGCTTGTTGTTGTCAGCGAAATCGTGCATGCTGAAGACAGAGCTAGGCTATTCCTTGATAAAGTTTTCACAAAAAAACATGACCTCCAGGTAGTAATGATTTGGTATTGAGATCCGCGCTTTATAGCAAATTTTAGCGAACACTCCAAGAGAGAATTGTTAAAATATTGGTAATATTCACCACCGAACATCGGTAAGTCAGAATGCATCAGTACTTTCTTCGAGAAATTGTCGCTAAGAGACTGTGTTGCTGGAGAGAGATGATATCACTGTTTTTTTTTAAAATTAGCGCAGAAAATGCTTCTACAGGCTTCGCCTCAAAGGGTCCAAATTGCTCGAATTTCACCTGGATACCCTTGATCCCGCCACAATTTAGCTATCTTTTGTGTAGTCGGGGCTGTCAATACGATTCGACTCGCTGGCATCAGGCCGGTTCCACCTCCTACCAGGATGACTGATATAATATATAGAATTTTGGCTTTCATGCGTAGAGTGAGTGACGATACAAACGAAAGCAGAATGTTCGGAAGCGACATGCAGATGCCAGGACCTGTCCGAACACACATAAAAATTAAACAGAGAAAGATGCGTTTATTAGCGGTTTTCATCTTTTTATACATTCAGTGTCTGTAGACTATAGGCTAAAATCGCGGCCTCGCAAGATAAAACATATACAATCAAATCTACAATGGAATAAGGCCATACTCTTGAAACTCCGAATCTGATGTTTTTTAAAAATGAGGACGCTATAAAACAAAAAATCAACGCAAAATTGTTAACGTCATAACACGATTCCGATTTTTCAAGTTAAATGCCCAAGACAAAGCAGAGCCGCAAATATTGCATGGAGCTGAGCTACCTTCTGCTCGAAAACAGCAAAATGACTGCAAACCACTTCTAGGGCAGAAAATATTCGCATTATCGTGCAGCTAAAAGAGTAATTGCGCGGCTCAGAGAGAACAATTGACTCATGTCAGATTGAACAACACTGTTTGTGTTAATTAGGAACAATTTCCCGTCGGCATATTTGCTAGCGCTATATAGTTTTATCTGATGTCTACTTTCTTCTGAAAAAGCTTGAGCTCCACCCTGGCAAGATATATTTTGCATCTTTACAGCAGGGCTGGCGTAGCTCGTTGCTTAAAGGAAGCTAATCTAAAGTCACCAACCAACCTTATCTTTTTTTCAAGAACAGTACGAGTGTAGCGGATCGCAATCCGCCATTTCCAAAAGTTGTTAAACCTGAACCAAGATAAAGACACTCTTCCGTTCAAAGTTATAATTGTATTTAATTGTTCTATTTGCGGCAGGGCCGCCTATATGTAAAATGTTAGGTTTTCCTGATTAAATAGAAAACCTCATAAATATGCATTACTACTGGCAGTCCTGCAACGTAGTGACATCTTGTTATGGTAGCCACACTTTTGTGTGATTACACCGAATTGTGTGATTCACATCAATGAACGGTCACACTATCTTGTGTGGCCCGCCCTTTCATACAAGGGTACGTGTAGCCCCGTTAAACTCCCCCCATCAAAATTGTGAATACCCTCAATGATCCCTGTGTATATGACACGATAAAAACCGGCCTAACCGGTCCCGAGGGCGCGCATCTGCGGACAGTCCGTCAGCGGCTTCACAAAAAGCGCATCCCAAGCCCTCGGCAACCGAGCGCCACGACACACACCGCACCCGCCCCGGGCGACGGATTTTCTTATCGAGAATTTGGAGGGGGATTATTGGGTTAGATGGTTTGAGGAACAGCACAAGCTACAACGTAGCACTTCGAAAAGAAGCTTTTTGCTAGTATAGCCGAATAGACTGGACGAATGGCTCTATTTGTTTTTCGAACATACACTTTGTTGTTCGACTACGGTTCGGACATTCCTTTCCCAGGATGCGAGGATAAGATTGGTTAGGTGCGCCGACGGCGCGACGTGAGCCCTGCTCGAATCTTGCGGATACCGCGTTCATTTCTCGACCTCTCGACTTCCAGTGGAAGCGGTATTATCACCAATTGCCTCGACGAGTCATAGGAGTAGCAGTTGAAGGCTGCGCACAGGGCGGCTCTCAGGCACTCGTACCACGTTCGAAAATAGATCCTTGCATGGAATACGGCTTCAGGTGGCCACAACATAGAACTTGGTGAGCTCATGGTAGTTGTGATTGTAAACGTACAAGTGGGTACGCATTTATGCGCGCGGGTGAACAACGTGTACTCTCGCCACATCCTTCGTCACTTTTGGCGAGTTTGTAGCAAAAAAATAGCAAGCCACTAGTCCCGAAATCTTGTCTCGTCCTATTGACGTTTGAATCGTTTGAGCAAAATGATCATCTCGCTATTGTCAGTGGCAACGTTATCCGAAATTTACCGTCTATATACAATGACAAACATACTCGCTGACTAGGCTGACCGACGACCATTCTTGTAGATTTATACCATCGCATCTTTGCAAATCCTGACAAACAGTGTTAACAGTTATGGACGCCTGATTGAACATGTCTACCGCTGACATACAGCTGATATATACACAGATGGAACGAATTAATTGCGCGGTGGATACTACATATTTCGACAGTTTTTATCCGATTAAGTGTCGATGGTTTGATTAAGCCTTGTTGTTTGTCTTGATGGGAGAGAGGCAGTCTATATGTTTTGTCTTGCTGGAACAGGAATCTGCGATAGTTTCTTCTTCTCTTGGAATGCTTATAAACTACGAGATATACGAGCATTTATTTCATTTTTTGGAATATGTGGAGTATGCCTTAATCGGTCTCTACCTGCGAAGAAAACGGTCCAATTTTTTTGTTCGCATCTCAGTCTTTGGACGGCAGAGAGTACAAGAACAGCATTCACTATAACGTCTTCATCACTTTTGACCTATTTTTGTTTGGTCTGCTACAGCCATCTGCATGCTGCTTTTGCGAATCTCATCTGCCGGCTATAGCGGCGCGCACTCAGCGATTGTTGCTTGACTTATCATGATGAAAATCTAATATTGTGGTAAGAAATGTCGTCGAATGATATGCTATTGGCTAACTGAAGATCTAAGGCGACAAACGAGAGCTAGTGCGAATGTCGTCAGCGTATTTTACTTAAGTATACCTTTTTAAGAACTGTGGCTCATTTTTACGAGTAGAATACTAGCATAAACAAGCCTTAATTCGATATCGACTTGGTCACAAAAGAATGATGGAAATCAGAGCAAGAAATCTGTGCGATAAATAACGAGCTCAAATAATTGACTGAGCCGCAAATTTACAGAAAAAAAAATCACTCCTTACCTAATAATGTTTAGCTCTTAGTTTACAACTGATAAAAAAATTCGAAGCTAGTTGCTTACAAATTTTTAAATTTCAAATATCGTACTTGTAAACATTGCCAAAGCTGTAGTCATGATACTATCGACAGTGTTCTTAGAGCTAAAAGGCTTAACGCTGTAGGCTTTTACCTCGACTTTCACCTTGTTCTTTGGGCTTCACAAAGTCACGCACTAAATTACGCTCCAGATTGATGATTGCCTCGCTGAAGCTGACTTGAAAATTTATCACAGAGATGAAGCAAAGTGCGTTTATAATACTCTCCGGTAAGTTCGCCAGCTCTATAAGCTCATTAGCCACCGCAACACGGTGACTTGGCAAATACCACATCTCAATGATATACTCGGTTGAAAAGAATAATTAGTCTGCCATTCCTTATGATAGTGTCGGGAACAACCTTGTCACACTAGCCCCACAACAATTGAAGTGTGTGGCTATTCATGACATATGTTGTTCTGACCAGGCTAAAACTTGAAAGATTGCACAAAGTTGTCACATCATGAGGTACCCTACAGAGTTATCATAAATCGCGCAGCCTTCATGCTTTAAGGCCGCTAGCGTGACGCGCTGATACTACGTCTGAAGAAAGTCCGACCTCACTTTTTCTTCTTGTCCTCTCTTGAAATAAAGGATTATCATGTTCATTGTAGGAGACACTATGCAAAAGCGGCCAAATTCTATTATGCTTTGTAGAAACCAATTCTATTTTCAACCTTCTGGATAAAATTTATTTAGCGGTGTCCCACCAGCTCCTTTTGCAATTAGCATGCGTATTCAAGCGATCAACAATTTATTTGTTTATCGGCTCACCATTTACCATGATAGAAGGAGATGAAATTGTCAGACGTGCCTTTTTGTTCCGAAGAATCGTAGGTAATAGTTCCAAGCACGAACACCAATTCATTAAAAACTAGTGTTGGTTAGATCTATTAGATCACATTATACCGCCTGACACTATGCACAGAAAATTTTGACCTATATTGTCCAGAAAATTGAACGCATATTTTATGAATTTGTACGCACGAACCAGGTGTGGAACTGCGAAATAAGCGGAACTTTGCTTACACATATAGTTCTTGCCTAAAAATGGAACAATATATATTGGTGTCTGCCTGTGAATTAAAAATCTAAGTATTAGGATAGTAGTCAACATGCACGAAGTTCCATCAAACTCGTTTTGACAGCGATATATCCCTGATACATAATCTTGTTACTTCTGAATTTCGCTTTTGTCTATAGATTTGCATTATGTTGTAAAAAACCACCATGATAGGTTACGTTTTCAGTTTAATAATAAGCGGATTATGACATACTTACGCGTAATCGGCGTTTGCGCGGGAATCGTCTGCGCATTCAGCTTGCCATAGCCGTAAACGATACGCTATTTACATTCATTTGATGCACACAAAACGTCGGGGCGCTGTGAGGGGACTTGCTTCCTCACCAAACCTGCAGCTTGCTTTTGAGCGAAGAACTCTAACTTTGCTCGCGCGACAGTGGCCACTGTCGATGCACTGCAAGCTTTTAACTAGGCTTACGATCAATTTCGTGTCGGACTCCACATTCGGGTGGAAGAACAGAGGGCGTGATCGCACTAAAGTTGATATCCTTGTATTCAAAATGAAGTGAATAATAATAAGGATCAGTAGAATACATCAAAATAACAGATCACCTGCATGACTCCACACGCTGTCAAAATTCATCAAGAGGAATAATCAAAAACTGATGATGAGCGTAGTTCCGCTGATTCGATCATAGACTGTAGTAACACGACCTTTGCAATGTCATCACACTTGAGGCAATGTAGATTGTCATCGTAAGTAACTTTCTTGAGCTGCACCAGATCTTCCATCGTCGGCAACGGTGCCAAAAGAACATCATTTTCTGGTAATTTCACAACACGATATTGCATCCACAATACGACGATCAGCATAATCGCATGATATATATCTATCATGGCAGTAGTACGCTGGTCCACATAACCCATGGACTCTATCGCATCATCCAAAACGGGAATTTGAATAGCGCGATCATCAAAATTCCGTTCATTCTTTCACATGTGTGTGCTCAGTGAGGGAGCATCCCATTTGTTGTTGGTTGCACCCAAAATTTGGCTCAACCACTGAATTAGTGGGAGTACTGGCATATCCAGCCACAGTTGATTCCTTCGACTTTCCATTATGCAGATGTCGACAACATCTTTTTGCTTAAAGGGGCGCATAAACCGGCATCTCTCCCTCATATTTTTTTTCGTCAGGCAAATCGCCATACTCACAAACGATTTGTTCGTCCCCAAGTGGCAAGTTCCGGGCACCACTTCTTCTATCGACACACTATCTGAGTGAACACCCGTTGCCACTCCGTACGACTCCGTATCATTCTAGCCTGATGAATGGTAATTGCATGACATATATCAATGAAGTTAAAATCTGTTCTAGCAACATACGGCTGCCGAGCGCTTGAGCGCTTCATCTTGGTCATAGTAAAGTTGGGTTCATTATCCCAAGAGTTTCACCTACGCAAGGAGAGCTACTCCCAATCGTTATCCATCGCCGATCGAAAATGGCTCGTACCGCTCAAGCCACGGTATACTCGAAATCAGGTCAAATCATTTATCCATCTTGAGGGCGGTGAATACTTCCTTCGAAGCAAAGTCTTCAATTACAGTAAAGACCAACCCATAATTTTATTCGCGGTGACTACCACACCAATTGCCCAACTTCACTGAGATAAAGCCATTGCTTCTATCAAGTGCACCGAAAGCACTGAATCGTTCTCATCAGCACTTTGCATCCGCTCATAGTTACCCAACGCACCGGAGTCAATCAAACTCTAAACGGACGACCATAACGCTTCACACTCGCTGAGATCACGAGGAGACCACTATGACTTGTGCTGTTAACGAAGGACAACGATCCCTCAATGGCTCAACCCTCATGAATGGTTCTGCCACCACATTTACAAGAGCACATAACTGCCTAAGAAGACTGCCCTACATCTACTGGGATTCGGCGTTTCTTGAACGCCTCGTGGCATTAATACCTCGACTCGGAACCATTACAACGAAAGCCGTACTGACAAGTTTGTATCTCAAGTGGATAATCAAGCGCATGTGACCAAAATGCTGACATCCGAAACTGCGAACTTGTTGTTTACAGACAGTCACCGCCCTTCGATCCCTTGGCCTCACATTTCCGGTAGCAGCAGTCACTGCTTTCATCTGGTCGACTGATTGATTTAATGCTCGACGCTGACTGTAGTCCTTACGCATCGTATTTATGATTGTATCTTGCAAAGTCGTCGAGATCATGCGAGAGACTTCAGTTCTGATAAGACAATAAGTGAGATCTTAGTAATCATCACTGCCTCTGGCGGTGGTTTGCTTGCAATTTTGGCACGAAGCTTACGAAGCTTCTGTTCATAGCCGTTCCATATGCCATTGTCTTGACAGTAAGACAAAAACTTCGACCGATTCAGAAACGTCACATTCGGTGGAAGCAGCATCCACTCCATGGCCCTTTTCAACCTTGTTATGTGGCAAAGAAGCCGGGGCGGTTGACTTCCCATGTTTTCGTACGGCCATCGAGTGCGACATGGCAAAGGCCACATGACTACGGTCATCACGAATCTGAGCCATCGTGATAGCGATGTCCATTCCCCGCAGCCAGAACACAAGATTTTCATCTTTGTTCCCTTTAACGTTATTCACCTTGATTTTCACAGGATGTTCCGTTTTTACCGACGGTGTCACCACCGCTTGTGTAGGAAGTGACGGCACTGGCCCGATTTGTCCTGCGATGGAATTGCAATGCAGCAAAAGCTGCTTGGCATTCAGATTTTCGCCTTTTGATCTATGAAGAGCATATCGGAGACCGCGTGACCTCCGATTGAAGCTCGCAGCTCCACCACACATTTCCATCGCGGGTGTTTTAGGAACGAATACTCCACCCTGTTGATCTGAGGACGACCACCGCCTGTATTGTCGACATTTTCTGAAGAAGTTGGCGCTGAATTGTCGACTCATGTGCAGTGTGTCCTGTCAGTAAGCTAAAATGCGAGGATGCCATATCTGAGCTGTTACGGTCGTAGCAAAAACAAATAACACCTAGGGTCGTGGTACCTCTTTTAAACCAAAAATTGCTGAATGGCTTATTTTTGCCATGTTCCAGATGTTGCCGAGGTACACAGCGATGATTAGCTCGGCCCGGCAAACGTCGTTGCAACTCAATCGTTTGCTGACGGGTAACGTGTGCTCCTTGAGTCAAATTTGCCCATTAAGATGTTGGCTGAACAATGCCGTATTCTTGGAAACCGGGTAACGCACATTTTTTCTGTAAGAATTAACAGAATGCTCGGAATAAGTGAAGCGGTAAGGTGATGCAAACTTCCTAGTGGGAACTTTGCACGGGGATCCTATTTATGCTGACGAGACAAAGGACGTAGAGAATGGCGTATCCTTACTTACAGGTTTGCCATAATTCTTGGGTGAGGGAAGAGCCGGGTAAAGACTCGATTAATTGCTACACCAGATCGCATCAGAAGATATCACCTTGCCGAAATATTTTCAGTAAACTGCTAAGGCCTCCCCATGCTTAAAAAATGGCTGTGCGATTCGGGCACCCCATTCTCAAATCCTCGTAGGAGTCGATGCATGCAGGGAGTAAAAACCCATTATGGTGTGTTCTTTATAAGTGTTGATTCTAGTCTAGTCCAGAAAGGGAAACTCGCGGGGATCCTTTGTACGATATTTTTCTGGCTGGAGAGGGTGCAATGGGGTATGTAATGTACAGATGTTCAAAGTCAAATATTACAGTTTTGTAAGAATGTACAGCTCTGAAAAAGTGAAGTACTATTAATGAAGAAGATGATAGAAGTCTGAAAAATATGGAAACGTGGACTTTTAGCCTATAGTCAAGTGGTAAAGCAAATGTAGTAAGACAAATATATCGTGTGTTACCTGAATTCGACCCTATAATTGACATATGTCATCTTTTCGCACCAAGCAACTTATGAGAGGCTCGCGTTTCAGCTGCTTAGTTGAGCTGACAAACCGAAACTCAGTGCAAGATAAAGGCGCTCTCTTTTCGTTTAGTGCATAATGCTCGGTGATCTTGTTGAAGCATTTTATACCTGTCACAACGTTTATGTGCTACAGTGATTTTTGGAGCTGCATCTCCCCCTTAGTATCATTTGGAGCTTATAAAACAGCTAGCCAGCCATGACTTTACTCAATTTGTTTCCAATTATATTTTGTATTCCACATGTATAACACGATTATAATTGTGTCTATATTTCTTGGCTAAGCCTGAACGATGATATCTAAACATCAGACACTTACTCTTCATCTTACGTGAGGTAGCGTAACTGCGTACGTAAATGCCGTACTTTGTTGCGGACAACTGATTATTTCGCAGCTCACAATATATAAGTGGCAGTGTTCGCTCGTTGAGTTTACGCCATACAGCAAACATGGAAAAATATAATGTGCAACGAATCCGAAGGCTCATGGACCCAAATGGAACACTTGCTCTGTAAGAAAAGTTAATTAATGCTCACATGAGTTCAATACTTCAACTGTGAGAAAGGCATAATAGTATTTGACAAGTTTCATCTTGAAAAGACGGAACAATCATGCTCTTTCACAACTCGTAGCTCATCATATGGAATGACATGATCTTTTAAGTTGTAATTACTTGTATTGGAGTACGAGTTCGTGCACTCAACATTTGCTCCAATCTATATTGCATGGTACCTCATGCTGACTTCTGAAACCTCCACGGCATTCCAAAATCCGACATAGTAAACATTTTCTAGCCTTAAAAATCACTTTCGAAGCATATATCTCAAGTTTTGATGTTTTTAGAATTACCGCTGACATCACCTCTACTATATTCTCTAACGAAGTGATAAATGTTTTTAACCTAGTGCGCACTAAGATTGAAAACAATGCTATGAGCACACAAGAAAAAAATATACCAAAATCCAATGCAACAATTCACTTCAAACTGTCAGTGCTATTCTTTCTCTTTTATGGAAGGTACAGAAGACGATAGGGACCAAAAGAAATATCAAATTGAAGGATAAAGTATGTTCAGGGTTCAACGCTAAACGTTCCCTGCTTAACGACGCAGCGCAAAAAAAAGAAACATTTTAGTTTTTTCAGTTCTATTCTTCATCTAAGCTCATTAAAATAATACTCATCGGGTCTAAAACACAACTACTATTTGCGGGCGGATATGTTTTATATCAGTTAATAATCTCATGGTAATGTCAAAGACCAGTATGCGATGTTCCAATTACTACGACATGCAAGCAACTCATGGGCGACAGACAGGCTCAAATTTCCTGTATTCTATCACAAACTTTTTTGGATTACTACGCACGTACCGCCTTCTCACCGAACCCTCCTTAATAACGATTTCTGCGCTACACACCACTAATAAAACAATGGTAAACAGCTTTTTCTAGCCATCTCTGACGTGGTCGCAATGGCGAAAAAGCGGAGCTCTTCTCACCATTAAAAACCTGTGGTTGCCGATGATTACGTTGTACCAATACAAACTAACTATCATGTTGAATGACAGTCAAAACATCCGAAAACCGCTAAACATCACCTTTAACGTTGACACAACGATCGATGAATATTATTTCATAAGTGGCTTAGTACTGTAGAACAATGAAAAAGTATAGGATACGTGGAGATGGCCATGCGCTTGTATCACGCGTTGCCTTACATAGACGTGATTTTCTCGCCAAAAGGAGACTGCACAATATCTCATCGACCAAGCGCGGACTACGCACTGAAACGCATCACTTTCTAACTACATTTTGCTTACTGGATAGAAGTTGATCCAGAAATGTACAGCTTAGAACAATATTTAGTAAATATTCACTCCTCAAAAACACAGATTCTCGTGCACACACTTCACCCCACTGAATCGATGTCGTTTTTCCTTCCATTAGATTATCAAGCAGAAGTTCGGATGAACCACGTAGTATAGCAAACTAATGAAACTGCCTTGAGACTGTGTAGATTGCTTTGGAGCAGACCAAGGATATACAAGCGCATTCGGCTTGAGTAGACTGTTACAAAACGATCTGATACTTGAGCTTTTTTATCTTGCACGGTGAGAAGATATCCTCAAAACATTTGCTTCAATTCTGCATTTAGTGACTGTATATCGCCGTATTCAGATCCATCATTGTAAAAAGATTATCAAAAAAAAATTAGCACCCCACGTGTCGAGTATTCGAGGTAAATACAACTGCATGCGACGGTATGTCGCGGTCACTAAAGCTATAACGACAGGTATTAGGAGCTGTGAGGAACATTTCCCAGACATTATTTCTGGTGGGGGAAAAAATCTGATTGTAAAATACGGTTCAAAAATATAAGCCTTGATGATGTAAAGAATGACCAATCCATGTAATTTGTTGACGTTACAGGGGTCTGCAACAACAAGAAACGCGCTAACTTATCCGAAAGATATGGCTATTGATATCTGCAACTATAAGAGGCACAATAGCCCACAAACACAACACACACGCTTGTGCGACTAGGAAGCGATTCCCGACGTGAAAGGAGAAGAAGGACTTGATGACTTTAATTCGCAACTGAAATCAAATAGGTCATGGCATGCAAAACACCCCAAGGGCTTCTATAGGATTTACTTATAAAGCCTTGGGATCCCAATTAACAAAAGCAAGAATGCACTGGGGTTGAACCTCAGCTTGAACAAATCCAAGATCTTGGGTGTACCAAGCTTGAGCTACGAGAAGCTTGAACTTCAGCTTCCGTGAAGAGTATCCAGCAGAGGAGACTGGCTGACGCCATCCACTTTAAAAGACAGAGCTTTGTTGGTCTCACCACCAGAACAGATTCCCAAAAAGGAACCCGCAATTGTATCGCACAGAACATTTGTGACTTCATATAAGATGTCACGTATGCATGTAGGAGCTCTATACAGTAATATTCTTCTTATAAATTTTCACGATGCATACATAGGTACGGAGTAAGTGCAGCCATTACAGCAACGAATTGCGGGATGATGAGATCTGAAAGTTGGTACTGCTATTACTGGAGTCGGAGCTGATCATGATAGAGACAATTAGTGAATACACTGCCTGAGTAGTCAGTGTGATGAGCTTATTGACTACTTAGACAAAGGTTTCTCAAACCAGGACGTGGTAACAGACGACCACAAAGGGTGTCTTTTCGAAAATTCGATTTATGTTGACTATCCATCCACAATTTTAACTGGACAAGTTTACGAAGATTTCACGTAAATTAAACAGTAATTGTAATATTCCGTTGTGATCAAATAGAAGCGTATCCATTCTAATATTTAAAGTACGCTTGATGAGTCGCATTCGCCTCAAATCGTTTCATGTAAAGTTATTTAAAGTTATCCTTCACCACACAAATAATTCGTGTCGTATAGCAATGTGGATGCTTGATATATATAAACAGATCCACGAGAACATAGCGTTGACGGAGCCGTTTATCTCTGTCAAATTGATTTCGTTTGACTCATACAAAGTAGGTCATGAAGCACCACCATGGGTGTTGTATTAGAAACAGGGCGTAGTGTTAAAAACATTCTTTCGGATACAAATGTGAGGTCAAAATTTAGTCCTGAACTTATTCTTGATATTTTATAATAGAGTAAGTGTCTGACTTGTAGATGCTTACAAATGATTGTTGCGGGACTCAATTGTTGTGATTTGTCATACGTCGTAATATGGATGGCGCAAAAGTGCATTCACCTCTCAAGTATCGATCAGACTTTGGTTTTGAAAGATCCATATAATTGACAAAGCAGGCCAACAAAATGGATGTGGCTACAATGCTGCTAAGTGGAGTTACGTATGAATTCAGTTCATTCAGACCAGTTGCAGTGATTTTTTCCAGAACTTTAAAGACTACAACAGACGTTAAGCCGAGAAGGTTAACCTTTAAATTGGCAATGGTGTACTTCTTAGCCGGTTACACCTTCTTCTGAGCAGGACAGTTATTGTTTGTCGCATTTTGTTTGTCGCTATCAGTACGCCGCTACGTTCATGGTCATCGCCAACGGCAAACATTATCGACGAAGTAAAACGGTCGGTCTTGGTCCGGATGGACCGCGGATACTGCGTAATTCAACCATTTGGTATTCTTGTTCAGGCATTTGTAAGGGATCATGTTAATTTTGTGTATTCTTTTTACTATACTGGTGCAAATAGTTGGCCAAGCTAAACCAGTAGTAAAAAATTTTTTTAGCCGAAGTTGGAACCACTTCGGTGTTTAAGAGACACGAAGTTAAGCCATACCATTAGTGTGAGATGATTTGAGGCCTATACAGATATGTACCGCGTTAGTTAGCGCATACTTAATGGGTGACAGTATGTTGCTTAAATGTTTCCAAAGAATTTTTATTCCTTAACATAAACGTATATCATTTGACCATTAATCTAGCAATATCTATTATTTGTATTTAGCTTAAACTATGAACAAGAGCTTTCAAAATTGTGCTATGAATTGCTGGCCTCCATCTATTCATGTATGCCCTGTTCCGGAGATTTTTTTTGTCTTTCGAATATATACAGCACCAAGATGGGTATTTTTACTCAGGTTGTTTACTAAGAGACGAGTCCTGATGAACTCCAAATATGAAATCAACTTGCTGCCAATGCTCTTTCTATCCCGATAGGGTAAGCAAATTGTTTTGCATTTAGTGACTTCGTATTGTAATATACAATACACAAAACTTAGATAAGCGGTTGCACGCGTTCTTGAACACAATGAGCTCAAATATACCTAGCTCCGTTTGAAACCACATGTTCGACAAGCCCATGCACCTTAAATGACATTTGTCAAAGCGCATCATCTTTATGTTGATTATGACAGCTTGTGGACTGTGTGTCACGAAAGCATATCTACCACCACCTTTTGGTCTAAGAATAGCATTTGACTTTGAAGGAATATTTGTTGAAGATCGAATCAATCAGAGAGTTGTGTTGTTAATATTTGTACATAATGACGTTTGGTCTTGATCTGATGACTTATGGCTTCGCGTCTACCAGGCGGACCTTGATTAGGGAAAACTTCATCACAGGGTACTTCTTATTTAAAGCTGAAACATTCTCCTCTGCCGCTTGATACAGGCAAGATTCCAACGCATCAATGCACTTATGACCATCAATGTTCCTTGCAGTAAAGCGTAACATGCGACAAAGGTCATAGTACTATAGACGACATGAAACGCTTGGTGTGGATCAGAAAGGGTCATAACATGACCTCAAACGTAGTCTTTGCTTACATGCCATGAGATCCACCATTTTTACCATCGCCGTGACCTCCTTCTGCGTTTTTGCAAGCGATATCGATAAGAACTTCGCAATTTCAACATAGAACGTACTTTAATTGTACAAGAACCTGGCCGGCGCCAAAATAACGTTTAAGAATTTCTTCAACGAGGTGCAACTAGTCAAGATTTAGCAATCATTTGCTTTAGGATCCCATGCGTTTTAGTGAAGTGATTCACGGCACAATTTCGCCGACCTGGATCATGCAATTGTCTATGCTATGAGACACGATTGTGTGCTGCTCCCATGCTTTCACATGGGTGTCTGCACTGTTTTAACAAAGCTGAAGAAATGCATTGTTAAAACAGATGTTCTCACCGCAACCTAAGAGATCTGTAACCAGACGATCGAACGTCATTGGCGTTTTACAGAGCCTCGGACTCAACCAACGAGGATGAAATCAGCTGATAATAAATATACACGATCCACCACATGCTGATCATCCTATTACAGAAAAAGTCGGCGCCAAGCGAGGATATTTTTAACATGGTTTTTACTTTGATCAATGACACACGACCCCTCTATGAACTTTTGCAATATTTGACTGGAAGAAGCACGATGATTCGATTGTTTCAATGCGCACCTTCTGATATGTACGTAAACTCCGTCTGGTCATTCGTCATCATGCCTTGTGAGTCGCCGCTATAGTTCTAAGTCAGTTTCTACGAGCCTTATTTAAGAGAAGATTCACTTTTCTCACCCATTGATATTCAGATGACCACAATAATAGAATCATATAGGATGTATCAAGCATTCAATATCCTGTCCAGTACAAGTGAATGTACTTCTTGATTTGCCGCCTTGCAATGATTGTACACATTTAAAAAAGATAATTTTCAGTGAAGGATTATGTAATATAGTGTTAGAACAGACTAACATCGTCTGGAGCTTATTCACGAGTGAATAAAGTTGATCATCACGATCCTATGCAGGCACAATGTTCTGCGCACTAGGCGCATTACTCAGCGGATCTGACTTAGCTTTTCCATTACACCGTAATACTAATGAGATGAACTTTGCGGTTTTGTGACTTGATTGCTCTTTCATCATCGCATATCTTACTGTCGTCCCGAGCCATTGCTTCTAAGACTGTGCAAAAATGCCACTCCGATCGGCCTCAACAAGATGAAATCCTGGACGTCAGTTTTATCTCACAAAAGTATCTTCTGGAACCAGCTCGCACCTGATTTAATCCAAGTTACTAAATATTAGTCATGAGCACTGGGATATGCGAATACTAGCTGGCATCCCAGCAGCGATAAACTGTCGCAACAGACATCGCTAATTTTTGTGTGAGAGGAGGGGCACTTCATGTTCAGCTCTATCAACATACATCATGGCGCTTGGCAATAATTTTACTCGGCTTTCAGACATTTCCAAATGCTTTATCTAATGAGTCGTATATTGATATTTGCACAAAACGTTTTCGCAATCAAGCATAGGCGATCTCATAACTTCCCAAAGCTCTACTTTCATAGTGCATCGTCTTCAATTCGTAAAAATATTATCGCTAATGAAGACTCAACTATTTGATGCATGTAAGATTGTATTAGTTTCACAAGCGGACGAAACACACTGACATTCAACGTCCAAATAGCGATTCACACTATCTTTTCAGTATACTTGACATTTTATCATGTGTTCCTGCCGTAATACACACAGTCCGTACTAAATTCGAGTTTTAGAAGGTAATACATGTAATCGCCCTATTTTGTCAGCTGTACGTCGCCTGTAGTTGCGATACGCACCTCAATCGATTGGGGCTCACATTGTCTTGCAAAGCTTGACTCTATGTTGTTACCAAATAATCTCTCTTGTCTGTGAGAGAAATATTTCTTTGAGTATCACTACCGTTTGGCTGGGTGATATTGCCCTTGGTGAGACGGATGAGGTTTGAGAGGGCTGCCTACTACTCAACATCTCGCCCTGTAATGCCTGTCGACCCTTTGTTGGCTATCAATCCTGCATCAGAGAGCACAAATAACTACTAACTCATTTGCTTTAAGCGACCCTTGAGATTGAAATTGTTATTTTGCATTCAATGTGACTTTCACCGCTATGGTGGGTCGAGCGCACGGGGTCAATCAACTCGCAGGCTATGCGATCTGTCAAAAATTGAGTATAGTTCACCAATTAATTTATCCTCCTTGAAAAGGGCTCAAATTTATTAAGCATGGTAAGAAAAGATAAAGCAAACCCTCACGACAATCTCCATGATTAGAATGCATCACTTTATGAGGTTACGCGTGTTATTTTTTTTGCACACGGTCTCCTAGCCTACTCTGTCTCATTACACATGTACTTTGTATGTCTTACACCATTTATAGCTGTATAATCCGTTTCAGTTCTGTTGTATCGATACTGGAAGTACTAATCAGTTTAGGAAGGTTATAAGCCTATTGGCTATAAAAATAAATGTCACTTTACCAACGGTCCATTGTAAGCGAGCAATACGCAGTAGAACGAGTCAGTTGGGCTAAGCATTCCTCAGTAAGTGTGTGTGCATACGGGCAATTCCCGATACACTTGAAACACTGACTGCGTTCAATAATTTACTATACATTTTCACCGCAACAACTTCATATGCACCTCGACTTCCTGTGAAATTGGAGCATTTCTTTGCAGATTTTTGCATCTCAGTGATAGCGTTGCGCACTCGTCGCATGATATTTTATCTATTTTGCAATCAGTTACTCTCTTTGAGCTGATAAGAGCAATTCAAATTGGATCGACAGCCCTGAACCCAACAAGACCGAATCTACTTTGTGGTGGTGGCCACGGCGTCTGTGGGCTGTCAAAATCAGTTATGCACGTACGATATAGGCGGTCTGTAGAGGCATTTACTACATTACATTACGCAGAATCAAAAATCGAAAGCGATTTGCTATGGCACCGCAATCTCACCGCGCAAATGTTTCGTTAAATGTCACCAACCAAACGATAGAAAAGTCGTGACGACCTTTTTGTCTGGAAAATTGCATTTTGAAATTGGTGACAAGGACCTTAAACATGGTTAAAGTTCGGGACTTTATACGACGTGGTATGATATGTTGGAGAAAAATTTGTTGAGAAAGAGCTTGGCTGTATGGTCACCGGTTACGGCATTGTTACAATAGCACACGAGCCGTCTTGCTCTGACATCTCTCAAAGATCATAATATTGAAATTAAGAACGCGTCGTTAGGGTATTTTGAATAGACTTTAAAGCTATGGGCTGCCAACACTCTTTCAAACCGGCAGGCCGCTGGAGGTACAGACCAATGCTCCGAGAATTCAGCACGTTTAAATGTTTCAAACTCTTCAAACATTTCAAGTGTAAGCTAATATCTGCTTGCAATTTTATAAGGACTGAGCTATCAATACATACCGTTCACCAAGTATGTCTTCTGCTTTCGAGATGGCCTCATAAACGGGTGTAAAATATTTCGAACAACCGTATGAATCTTATATCGTTATGAGACACAATTTACGTTCAGTGTCATGTGGTTCAGTCCGATTAAACAGCAAAGTCGGGGAAAAGGAAAGTCGTTCCAGACAGGAAGCTGCACGCTTCGTTAATGCGCCCTCCTTGCTTTCAAAAGCTTTCCGAAAGCAGCACATGTTCCGTATGACGCGTATGCTATTCGTACCGTCTCATCAATTGGCTATGTCACCATCGTGACATACGTCAGTTGACTGTCCGGGAGACGCGAAAGCGCATATGCACTCACATGAATTTATACCTATTTTGGACAGTCAGGGATGGTAATTTTGACGCTGTCTCTGAAAGATGTGATGATGACATTACTGTGAATAATGACGCATAGTATGTATCAATTACGTACAGACTGCTCAAAGCTAACCAGGTGCACTTTAAACATAGTATATTGATTGTCGCTCGGTTCCTCTACATGATAGTTTCTTACCGCCAAATGAAGCTGGAGAAATTACGCATTCATTCGCATCTGTATTTGCTCGAAATAATACACATCCTATGCCAAAGGGTGAAGCGATAAGGACAATATGAACCGCTGATCCCGATCATCAAAATCAATGCACGATTGAGGTTGTCTTGCACAGATTTAAAGGTGTATCTATTGCCGCACCATTTGAGATTCATTCTTAGAGAACTCGTGAAGGGTCGTGTCGTGTCGGCATTATTTGCACTATAAAATTTAGATAGGCACTAGCCAATCTAAATCGCATTTAGCTTTGTGTGGTTTGCCTGCAAATCATGCTGCCAAAGATACACTTCTCGATATTGGCAGTCAGCTAATTGATGCGCAAAATTTTGATCATTGTTCGCAAGCGTCTGTCGTTATTCCCCACATCGGGCTTCCTGTGATTGCACGGCCATGGACAAATATTCCTTAAAATAACTTGTACTGAGCCGCGATATGGCCCGAAAAGCAGCGCCCCGAGACGAAGGGGCGTCACTTGGAGTGTGAGATACTTCCTGTTGCATGAACAGTCAATTCCAAAGAAGTTTTCTTTATTACTGCGTTGAGAAGTATGTTGCTGTTTTTCAGGTGTGGTTGACGATATTTATAAACCAGGTGCAGCCGATCAAACGTTTTGCGGAATGAAAGTCGTTCCTGAGTATGGGCCGCATTGAATTTGGGCCGTATGAAGGTATTTTACCTTTCTGACCAAATCCCCTTCGTTCTCGGAAAAAGGGCATGACGTCTTAAAGTCGTTTTGCTTAACCTATGCCATTAGATGCTCTATTTGATTATACCAAACCAAGTCAATTTCATGCTGATTCTCCAGTCCCGTTGATGAGGCTATTATCATCACGTTGTGGTATTCCATTTGCGAAGGGGATTATACATTTTTCACCCAGCATTTTTCACCCAGCATTTTTCAAGAATCCACAGTTGAGATTCATTCATGACGGATGACGAACTCAGCTCTCATTTTAGCTCTCACCGCACCATTTGAGGCGACGTCACCGTTTCTCTTTTTCTTTACGCATTAACTCCGTCGATCACGATATCCAGTCTTTTCTCCCGTCTCATCCTGAGATTGCAGATCACTGCCGCTTCTGCCTTTCACGCTATACTCGCGCTTTCTGGTAATAAATGTCGAGTAGCCCCTGGCTTGGCCCGAAAAAATTGCAACTTCATACTAGTGCCAGAAGCGCTTATCATATCTGGTATAGTCAAATTAAAGAATCTTCTTCAGAACTCAACCGGTAGAAAAGTCCGTGAAAACAAATTTCCTCACTTTCCAGACAAACGATGCCGTTCCGCTTCTAAGCTATGTGGAGCGGATGAAACAGGGCTAGACAGTGTTTTACGCTGTCATTGCACTTAATTTTTCTTGAAAGCTTAAAGTATCCCATCATAATATTTCTATATCATAGCCGCATTAGACACTACCCAATGACTCCACACACTGTCAACTTTTATGAACAGATGTATATTGTACGGATATGCGCGACGCTCGTGACTAGAATGAGGCGTTTGCTGCATTGCACTACCCGGAACTTTGATGTTATTAGCCAAAAAAAGGCTGTAAGTCCCACCTCACTTAGTGAGATCGTCTTTTTAAAAGCAGGGTGCCTTTGAGCGCAACAATGGAGATTGTAATCTTCACAGCATGCTTTTCTGTGCCAAATGAGATCTGATGACTTTGTGTGAGGCTCTCCCTGTTTACCAATCCGTCGAGGGGGAAAAATGCACGCAAAACAGTTTTGTATGAGTTACCATAGATGTAAAACCCTGAAGCTGCTGGGCAGCCAATAATCTCGCACTTTTCTGAACATTGCCAACCTCCACCGCCTCTTGCAAGCTTGGCGTCACGCCTCCATTTGATCCTCGTGGCACGGATATTATTCTTTGCATTGAATATAACACCTACTGCTTCCTTAAAATCTTGGACGCAGAAAGACTCGGTACGAGAGAGGTCTGTTCGTAGTTCATGAAAAAAATTGTTGCGGTTATCGCCATCGTCAGGTCATTCGACGCCATTGCAATGGTAGAAGTTCTTGATGCCTGGATATTTCCCGCTATTTCTTGCCTCCCATGATGCGCACACATGATTGTGTGCACGCAACCATTACGCCTGATCATACGGAAAAAAACTAGCGACGTCTTTTGCTTCTATATTTGATATTTCGTGAAAGCCCCATAAATAGAGATACTACGCGGTAGTGTTCATTTTTGCACCCCATCGAGTTATAAACCGCTAGCGCGACAGTTGCCACGTCTGGATTTTGACCAGGCTAATGGCCATCTCAGTTTCTCTGACCCAGAGATAAGAATTTATTGTATCTATCCTCAAAGTGCTTAACGCTAAACATCATTATTCTCATGGTGGGAGCCGATAATTGTTCCTCGACGATTGCGTTGTGTCTTTTTGGGCGTGTTAAAAGCATGTTTACATGACTATACAATCATCTTTGCTGCTGGCCTTTGGGCGAACAAGAGTGATATCCTTTTGCGAATAAAGAATATACATCAACTTACTGGTGATGTCTTGATGTTCTGACATCATATAGACGATTGTCATTTGCCATTATCCTTACCGAGGATATTGTTTTTACGAATCGTTTGTCGATTCGACTACAAGTGCAACAAGTTGCAGTAGGGTTGTCGTGCATCTTGCCGGGAGAAGGATTCGCATTAAAGAATCCTCGTTGGCAAGAAACAAAGTTTTGGTTAATATAAAGTACTCAGAGGGAGACGAGTGCCTCTCAATAGCTTAGTACGACTTATCTTTTATTCGATTCCGTATATTTCAATTCAGAATTAAGTGTATTTACGATCAAATTTATATATTTTGATTACATATTACATGTATCGAAGAACTGGAAGCTAGCAGCTCACGTGCTCCATGGATCTCTCCGTTACGAATTTCATCGTCCTAGTTTGGTCTACATTTTTCGCAATAACATAGAAGTGTAATGAGTACGTTTGCCGTCCATGGATACGCACTCAATAACACTTATCAATCCACATCATAATTTGTGTTCCGTCGGCCCCGGTATTCTGTATCTGCAGACCTAGTCGTCAGCCTTAGCATTCTGCACTCTGTGCATGCCACTTAATCTTGTCGATACAAATTGTCAATTTTGATACAGAGTGATTCGAGGACGATATAGACAGATCGGTATGGATCTTCAGGATAAGAATAAAAAAATTGGGGTGGTGTCAAGCGAGCACACCTATAAGCTTAATAAATCAGAAAATGCATTTAAGGTTGAAGATGTATATACTGCAATGTTAACGAGCTCGATGAGTGGGAGCATATTGATTTATCTCGACGATAGCCTGACAAAAGTATTTAAAGGATATCTTTCACCGCGCGGGTGACGCATTTTGTCGGACCTTCAGTCTAATATTCGTCCGCAGATGACATTTTCAGTCTGGTGCAAAGCACCTCAAACAACGAAAATTTGCTATAGAACGCGAATCTTATTTCAAAACTATTTTCCCGGCAAGAAATCATATCATTTATTGAAATATTATGGCTGTATCCTTACCGGTGGTGAATTCTTTGATATCAGCTAGCTGGACCGTTTCTTCAATAATTCACAACGACAACAACGCCGGTGCAATCGGGCACATCTTCAGAATGGTCAGAACAGAGCAAAGTTTATGATTTCCAACATTGATCCAAAATCAGTTCACAAGTTCAAATGCTTACACATATACGAGGAAATACCAGCTGAAACGTTTTGCACATATGTACTCAAATACGTATCCATTTGTACTACTGCGTACACCAGAACATAGCGCCCACTGATCAGCAATTCATTACTTAACCGGAAAGGTATCACAAGGGAATATAATGAACCTTGTACATTATTTTGTACAGGAGATCCTTGTCATGAGGTACCTCCACACACTGGGGACTGGGCCAGTGTTGTAAAACAACAAGCTTACGAAAAAGGATTAACGGTACAGAATTTCAATCAATCGCGTAGATAAAGCGACATCTGATACCAAAAACGCATGACTTCCTAAAATCCTCACGACTGTGACACATAATGCATCTGACCATAACGTTTCTACGCACTACTTCGCCGATTCAAGGCGTCGTCATCTCGACAGTTCATTCTTTGGGTCATTTGACAGCACATCCGCAATTATATTGATTTGACTCTTCTTTTACCTTCCTTCAACAATCATTTATTTGTTACACCACCTCATACTCCAGGATTTAATTTTGATTCTTCAAATTCTCTTCAATTCTTCGTCATACTCTGTCCGACTCATTCAAAAGGGACAACATATACGTTTGCTCCATATGGTATCTGCGTCACCATCGATGATTTTCCAGTTCCACGTCATCCAGCGCAATAGCGCTATCGTGAACTTGATTGTCATTACGACTTACATGATAGACGTGTGATTACAGCCTAGAGTTCGATAAATTCTTAAGTCGAGTGGAAACTCGAATGATGACTAAATCGCGTATCTTTCGTGCTGTCGGACCGATTACTTGTGCTGGATGCGGACCACGAAGCCACCCGTATGTACCGTACGACCAGAAATCCAATTTGGATCCTATCTAGACTGTACGTACCATTGTATGAAAGGGTGGGTCACACAAGTTGAAGCGAACGTACAAAGATGTGGATTACACAAATCGGTGTAATCACACAATGGTGTAGCTCTACCGTACCAATAAGCCACGACGTGGCGGGACTGCCGGTAGTTATGCCTTTTGACTAGGTTTTACTATTTAGTTGAGAAAACCGAGCGGTTTAGATATAGGCGGCTCTACCACGCATAAATCAAATAAAATACAGTTTACATTTTGATCGGATGAGTTTATATGCCTTGGTTAAGGTTTTGAGTATTCGTGGAGGTAGCAGATTGCGATCAGCTACACTCGTACTGGTTCTGGTTCTGGTTAAGAACGTAAGGCCGGTGACCTTAATAAGCTTCCTCTAAGCAAAGAGCCGCTGCATGGACAATTTCCACTTGATTCTGGGCATGGGCCCATGCGACCAATTCAGTGGATGTCCACTGTTTGCAAAGAGCGAGTACCGCTGTAGACTGGTTAAACGTACGCGATATTTGCTATTGATTTGCGCATTTGTCAACGCAGAATCGGGCTCTTTCTGATTTCGAGGGTGCTCGCGGAATACGATCGATAACCACTCGGATTCACAACTAGAGAAACAGGGAGAGAAGAGAAAGAGATGGCTTTCCTAACTAGAGTCCGTTTTCAGACCGGCATCGAACGCGCGAACGATACTGTGACAGTCGCGAAGAATACAAGTACGAGGCTCCCATATGTTAACATTCGCTAGATATCGCAGCCATTTCGCTAAGCGCTCTTTACGACCGCATACGTTCCTCTCCGCCACCACGTTATCGACGTGGTAGCATCGATCACTCTGTCAATTTAGAAAATGGGGGGTGCCGGAGAAAGCGTCCCATCGGCTTCTTCTGTGATAGGTATACAGTCTTTCTCCACCTTGTATTTGCGTTTGACAAAGGTGGAGAAGCTCCTCTCGCCGATAAACTATCGGCTGATAAGATGACCGATCGAGTGCGGTCGACGCGACAACGCGTGAAGAATAATCGAGAGGTCGTTCGCGAAGTTTGCAATTTTGCATTGCGTCATGAAATCTCGCCTAGGGGCGCAATCGAAAATCGGATCCATGGATTGAAGCAGACTCTGAAAGCTCTCCCTCTTGCTGTGGCTGCTTTCCTGATGATATGGGGCTTCCTGCCATGCGAACTCGCTCTGTTTCGGGCATTTTCAACTATTCTCGTCATTTTGAAGACGATGCTGAGGCGATGACGCCAAGGGGCTCAACCAACGACTCAAGCCGT